ATTAAATATTGTGCCCCTAAAGTTTGTCATCAGGCTCATTTCTTTTGTATTCAAACTATTCTTGTTTAAATCATTCTTTAACTAAAACCTTTTATAGTTATGCAGCTCATGGGCTATTTTCACTATCTGAGCAATTAAAGACTATTGTGTTTATTAGTTTTAAAGGAAAATTTAGGCACTATGACAAAAACTAACCAATCCAAATCTATTGCCCCGCTGTGATTTTTAACTGAATCTGCTCAGTTTTCCAAGGAAAATTCCAAACTCTAGAAGAAAGTTTCTCCAATAATTACACCAGCCTCTTACTGAGTTTCTTTTGTGTAAAAGCCAGGCTCTCTGGCCTGCTCTGTTTCTCCAGTGCCTGAATGAAACCCTACATAGAAGGCTTTTATTTTCTGTTGTTGAGGGGAAAGCAAGCAGGGTACTTAGCTGGGTGAGATAACCTTTTGTTGGATGAGACCACTGCAGAGCCCATGGGTGATATCAGTGGACAAGTCTTTTAAAATAGGTCACCTCTTGCCCTGCATAGCTGCTCCAAGAGCATTAACTTTATCCAGTTGGAAAAGAAAGGCAGATGAACTTTGATCCTACTCTGAAGTGACCACAAATCTTCCCTCAGCATGGACATGCCATTTAGACAGCATTGGAGATTCATGGAAAAAGAGATCAGCACCACCAAGCATTGTCCTTCCAGCTATAACCAGTCTCCTTCCACTCACTTCTTCTCTGACCTTTGGGGAAGCTCAGCTTATCATATCAGCTTGTCCGGGAAGATTTGCTAATAAATAATCAAAAGAGCTCTCCTAACAAATGCATTTGGGAGACAAATCCCGTGGTGCTTCTTCCACCTATTTCAGCAATATAGCTGGGCCAGGTCTCGCAGCTTTCTCTGCAAGTGGGTGAGATTTTGCCCTGGGTAAAAGCTAAAGCTTAGAGCTCTAATGCTGAAAGGAGTTCCGTGCAGGTAGATGGGCTTTCAAAGTGTCTCTCCTTAAAAAACCAAGTCTTTGTTTTATAAAGTCTGTGTACATATCTGTTCTGATGGAAATATCCTTTAGACTGAAGCCTTCATTGACTATTAAGTTTTCTGAGGACACTGACTAAAGCCTGAAACCCTGTTTATTTTGACAGATGCTATTACAACCTACATGAGCTAAGACTCACACTAGGCTCAAACATTATTCACCCAGCACAAGGGAAAGTGCTGAAATCCATTCTCAGCTCTTCATATGATTTCTATTACACCTCTTTAAACCAAAGCCACAAAAACTGTCAAGAAATTACTGGAGTAATTAGATTCCTGATAGCTAATTAGAGCAGCTGAGAATAAGTTAAACTGGAAAAAAGAGCTATATGTTGAGATCTGGAATACAATACAGCTGTATTGTGTCCTGTGAACAATGTTATGGTCTGTGAGGGAGGAAAATGGAGGATCATTAAAAAGTCTTCTTCCCTTCCAGCCCCAAAAATAAAACAAACCTGTAGGGAGAAGTTATCTACCAAGAACTTGGGTTTTGTTTCATATAAAAGAGAAATAGCTGATAACTTGAATTCACAGTTATCATTCTGTTTATTTTTTGTATTTTTTTTTTTTGTGAGCAGAATCCTGCCTGTACAGTAGTCAATGAGAACTAAAGGATGCTGACAAACCAGGGACTTCATTGTCTTCTGTGTACCAAGTTATGCCACAGTCTGGTATTTTTCTTTTAGATTCTGATTATTCCCTGACTCTTCTCAAGAGGAATTTATGCTCTAAGAGTTCAGTAAAGAAATTCAGATTATAATTACCACAGTCTGATATTTTTCTTTTAGTTTCTGATTACTCCCTGACCCTTTTCAAGAGGAATTTATGCTCTAAGGGTTCAGTAAAGAAATTCAGATTATAATTGTAGATGGATGTGATTTTGGGAGATGCATGGCTTGTTTGACTTACATAGGTGGAAATGTAACTAACCGATGATGTTCTTTCTTACCTTGTACCTTCCATTCTCATCATAAAATGTTATCACAGAGGTTTTCTACATGATCTGTTGCTGTCACTACTGACTGTTGCAGTGAGAGCAGTTTTCTACATGATCTCTTGATGTCACTACTGACTGTTGCAGTGAGAGCATTAATTCCTACTTGCATAGACTCTCACAAGGGCACTTTCTTAGTAAGACTGTTGTAGGAACATACTTTTAGTAATTTATTTAGATTGCTTTCAAAGCATTAGAAGTTACACTGGAAAACTACTATTTGTCTGAGGAAGAATGTTCACACAATTATTAATGTAATCCTTCAGTTAGATCAAGATGGTTCTAAGTATTTTCCCAGGCAGAGAGCTCCTGACTGAGCTCCAGCCCACACTGCACTCCAGCTATGTTCTGTCATCACTAAATTTCCTCTTCTATTGCTGCTACAACCTCACTGTCCCTGTCTCTTATTACTGCCTCACCTACACGTGAGCTCTTCTATCTTCCTTCCATGTCCCCCCCTTCTATTGCTGCTACAACCCCACTGTCCCTGTCTCTCATTACTGCCTCACCTACACATGAGCTCTTCTATCTTCCTTCCATGTCCCACTTGCCTTTCATCTTTTCTTCCTCCTCTACACAAAGAGCTTTTGTTTACTTTTTGTTCTCTGCCTCAGTCTATGGCATTTGGAGGTCTAGACCTCCCTTGTTCCTACTCCATGTCACCTCTCCTTAAAAATCTATACTCTCCATTGAGTCTTATCCATCAAAATGCCTTTCAAAAATAAGCATGCAATGCTCTTTCTGTCCTCATGTCAAAATGTACCATTGTCCAAACTGTATAACCAATCAGCTCTACCTTTCCCTTCATCTCACAACTCACTTGAAACACTTCATTGCTGCTACCTCAAGTTTGTATTCGTCTCTCCTTTATATTAATTTCTGATCTCTGTTTCCTGATTTTAAAAATTGATTATGTGATTTTGTAAGTCATTCTTAAATTTCCATGTTGTCTGATGCTTTTCATTGCCACTATTTCCCTGTAGATATGAATGACTTCTTTAATTCCATAGAGGACCAATTCTTATTCCCAAAGTTTCCCATCATATAAAGGCTTCTGGGTGAAAGGAAAGGCTGAAAATCTTCCAGTTCTGACAGTTTTAATGTCATATCACTCAGAACACTAAATGTGCAAGCCCAAAGGGTTAGAGTAGTGCACATCCTCAGGAACAAGACCTGAAACATTACCAAGCTGCTGATCACAGTTTTTGTTCTGTATGCAAGCCTCGGTTTGGGTTTACAAAATATATTTTTAATCTGGGCAAATTTAGAGTTTCAGGAAGGAATGGGACATAACTGACTTTTCATTGTTCTCTGTTGAAAGTTCCTGGCTTATTCAAATTTCAGCCTCCAAATTAAATCCAGGATCCTGAGCTAAAGAAAATGTCAGATGTTGACTCATTGAAGTCTGTGTCCGTTTGGTATACAACCAATAAGAAAGATTACAAGCACATAAATAATCACCCATTTAGCCAGCCTAACTTCATAGGCCAAAGTGTTTTATGGAGTTGAACAGACACTGCTATACTGAAATAGGCACTGCTATACTTATTTACAGGTAGGGAAGTCAAGGAGGAGATTAGTGACCTTACCAAAGTTCACACAAATGTCAATGGCAGGAAACTGGCCTCCTGATTGTCCTGTCTAATTCTGTATCTGTGGGACCATGCTTTAGTAATCAGCACTGTTTTCAGCTACAGTTTTTAACCTTGAGAATGAGTGATTTGCATGTCTTTCTGCTGGAGCTAATGGGAAATACATACACTGAAAAATCCAGTAAGTCAATTAATGTTTGCAACATGCACAGATACAATAGTAAAGAATGCAATAGAAAACGCAATCTAGCTGCCTGGACTGGCTTGTCCCCTCATACACAGCACACCACAAACTACCAATATCTAGAGAATAAGTCTTATAAAGTGATATTGGCCAGACATAATTCTTCCCTAAGACCTACATTTACAGCTCTGCCAAACCTCGAAGAAAATTACACACTCACATCTGCAAGTGGAAAAATTCACAAGGGGCATTGGTAAACTGGGAGACTGAGGTCTCTGTTTTTAATAGTATTTTATTTTAGCACTCCAAACTACCGTGCATCAGCGATCCTATATGATCTTCATCAAATATTTGGGAAATCATCAGCAGAAGACAGACACTTTCTGGCCATTAACCACATTAAACAACAGTAGGAAAGTAATTTAGCTCACGATAAACTGGTTATGTACCGTGGTTAGGAAGATCCTTGAGCCTCCTCTGCTTCATACAATTTCACTTAGTTGTTCATACAGATTCTCAGAGATGCTTATTCTTATTATTCTTATTAGAAATCTCTAGCTTTACAAATTCTGCCATGCATATAGTCCAAAGCAAATTAAGGCAACAAAAGTAAGAAGTCTGAGGGAAAATTTCAATCCAGTACTGTAAAGAAATTTCCAAGGTTCAAGATTACTCTTTGTTAAGCTTTGTTTTGCCAATTTTTCATAGTACTGCTAGGTGTTCTTCAGTACCGGTATTGGTATATTAATAACTCAACTGAGGTGAGGTTTCTATTATTATTTGAGCACAGTAGAGCCCTTTGTGAGTTTACTGCACACCATTTGGCAACCAAACCTTTTCTGACCACAGAAGAAAGTGCAGCCCCCTGGCAAAGCAGCCCTGGCAGCCCTGCTTGCAAGCACACAGCCCTGCTGCTGGCCCAGCAAAAGGACCTGCTGCTGAAGGCACTCCCTCACTTGCTGTTCTTCATAGAAAAAAAATGGGAGTTCAATGCTTCAGATGCAGTGCTTATGCCTAAATGCTAATCAGGGCCTCTGGTTTTCTGAGACATTGTATGTCTCAGGAAAAAAAAAAGATAAAAGCTGTAAATCAGAAGGTTAATTTTATATTTACAATAGTACTCTAGAGTTCAGGACAGAGTTGCAAGTGTGAGCACTGAGAAACACTTGTGTACTGACTTTTCACTTTCCGTATCTTTTTCTCTAGAAAAAGATGAGAAGAGAACAAACATCTCACAGGCAGAGGTAAGAGAAATATTTTTTTTCAATCTATTTATTGTGAAAATAGGTCTACTGTTAAAACCCTTTTGAAACTCACTGATTCATCCTGGTTAATATTTTTTTTTACATTGTCATGCCATCTTCAGTAACACAGCCTTTGAAGAGCCATTGTTTCCAAACCAGGGCTGTGTAAAGCTATGCTGTGTGTCAGTTCTGCTGACACACAACACAGTGCTGGGAGAGGCAAACTTCCCTCCTGCCTTGCTGCCATACTTTGGCAAAACATGGATACCTGGCCCAACATGACCCTGCCAGCTCACACAATCCCAGCATTGCTTTGGATCTGCAGGTCACTGCTGGTCTACAAAAGTATTGCAAACACCTCTCTACTCTCTCCATTATTTGCCAAGCTTACAGCAGGCAGTGCAGTGATGTTGTTTGTACACGTGTTAAAAACTGGCTCCCCTGATCTAGTTTTCTAACTTCCCCTTGCATGGTTCCTGCAATTCCCTGATCACTTTCTCCTTCAGCCATTGCTCAGGACAGCAGGCAGAACTTTAAATAGCAGCAGGAGGTATTGATTGGTTCGAATTTGGACTCAAATACAAACTTAAAAATATTTACTGGAGTGAGGATCAACAACCCATCCCACAGTGTTTATAAATAGCTTTCTCTTTCCAAAGAAGGCAATATTTTATTTATAAATGTTATTATTCCATCCATTGAGATAAGGTAAGGTAATAGGTTTGGCCATACTTGTGTGAAAGTGGTTCTCTTAGGAGCTGTAGCAAATGTTCCATGAAGAAATAGATCTGATCAAAATTCACAGACTATATACTAGGCATTTTTAGCAAATATTTGAGAAAAGACAACATCAAATACAACTAGAAATTGATTAGATGAGGAAAAACACTTGCCCACGCACAGCTTTTCCTTAACCTTTTTGTTAGGAATGTGATATGGTGCTTATGACTTCCAAAGCTAGCTGTGGGTGTAACCTTATGTAGCTTTTTTGTCCTTGGTATATAGACATATTTCATGTTGGTGTAATACAGACACCAGTTTAGCTGCTTTCACTCTACAAAAGCTGCTCTGCTTTAGCACTGAATGTATTCCAGTTAGTTTTTGCTAACTGAACATTGGTATAATTACGGTACTATTACTCTATGTGTAATTTTGATGCCATTATTTTGGAATCATTTATCTTTTGTGCATAGATGTGATTTTGATGCCATAAAAAGTTTAACTGTCTAAATATAATACTCAAATCAGGCCCAGTTAAAAGCTGAGTGATTGGCTGATGAAGTGATTATTTTAGGTATAATAGAACATGCTGAAAAAGTACAGGGGGAGGGATTTCCTCTTACTTATGTTAAAAAGTATATATTAATATACATACATGTACATATAATCACCAATTACATATAATCACTGATTATTCTATGTACTGTATATATTAATATACATACCTGTACGTATAATCACTGATTACACTGTATTTAGTTGGAGTATTGGTTAATGTAAATCTTGCAACTATTTTAATATTGTTTACATATTTTAATATATATAAACATTTATTTGCCTTATGAGAATCAGTTACATAGCCTGTTAAAAGCACAGGCTATCCTAATGTTATGTTTAACAATATTTTTTAGAGTGAAGGGTAATTTTAAGTAATATTGGGTCTTTCTTGCCTGGGAGCCTTAAAGGTTGTCCAATAAACATATGTTTTTGTCTATCTAATGGAGTTTTCCCTATACACATGAAAGCCCAGGAGCTGGCACCAGATATACATGATATTGTTTTCTTAGAAACTCCTCAAATCGGGGTGTGCATCCGCTGAAAGCAGCTGTAGGGCAAGACCTGGAGCTGCCATGACCAGAAAACTCTCCCTCATACACACTCTTACTGCCTCTCTCTGTGTTTTGTCCCTCCCAGTCCCAGACCGCGTCCCCCAAGCAGAGGAAGCAGAGCGTCTTCACCCCACCTGCCCTCAAAGGTACAGTCCAGGTCCTGCCTCTGACCCTTGCGCCGTGGCTTGGTGCCTTCTCTCTCAGATGAAAAATGTGGGTGTGAGAGATGGCTGCACCTGAGAGTCCCACAGCTGTGGAAGGCTCATGCTCAGCCATCGCTGTCTTCAGACTTTGGAGTCTGGCGTTGACCACCTGCCTGATGCTGCCCATCAGAATCTTGCACGGAATCTTGCTGCAGTGGGAAATATATGTGTTGAAAATAGATTTCAAGAAATGCTTTGATACTTTTATTGGTTTGATATTACCGATAATTCAGTGCCAAACTTTGAAGAGAGCTCCTTGAATACATAAATTCTACTAGTGCTGGCCCCATAGAGCTCTCTGTTCTTATTTAAACCATTCCCTCATATTCTGCCTCCCAGACAGCTGTGAAAAGAATAGCCAGACTGTGGGCTGGGTATCTGATTGTAGGAAGTGTGAAGACTTTCTTGGGAAGATAAGGAAAAATGAGAAATCTTGGTAAAGTTTTCAAGGGCTTATATGCTTTACAGGAATATGTGTTAAAGCAGCAGGAATATCAGCTGGGATCAGAACAGTTAGATTTAGACCTTGCTTCTCAAATAACTCTGAACAGAGTTTGACTTCATGGTGCTTGCAGTGAAGCAAGATCTATAGTGATTCACCAGCACTTCTGACTGATAGTTGTCAGAGCAGGATTATTTCCAAACTGCAGACCAAATGCTATCCTGTCAGGTGTCTCTTGACACATAATGAATACACAAATTTCCATTTGTCTGCTTAACACAATTTATTACCTGGCAAAAATGGTGGGATATCTGATCTGTTGTGTGAAATACTGCTGCTGTCATTAGGTATTTTACCATATCAGCCAGTTGTACATATCTCATTCTGTAGCTTCAGTTCTCTAGTACTTGTCTTAGCTACAGTTAAAATATCACTCAGGTGTCACACAACACTTACTATTTGTCAAAATGTGCTAAACTTTGTGTTCTGGATATTAGAAATTATCTTGTTACAGGCAATTATAATAATTTTTGTGGAAGGATAAAGCTTTGCATGGATAGCAATAATACTTACTGATCTCACTACTACATAATTTTGTGTACAAGCCCAAACTGAATACCATGCAAATGAAGTGTTGTGTACAACAGGTCTTTGTATCTCCTCTCAAGGACTTCATCCTATGCAGTGTTAGCTGTAACACCCTGCTGAGAGCTGGGGAGCTGCCTGGCATAGTTGGCTTCTATATCAACTTACTTCTCAGGGAACAGTAGGAAAGTAGGAGAGCATGTGATTCAAAATAGATCAGAACTAACCTGAAACATCTTCTTAACAGAGCAAAGCAAAGCACAAAAATTCCTCTCCTCTCTATACCTTATGTGCTGGTTTGACACTGTCCCGCATGACATCCTTGTTTCTAAATTGGAGAGACATGGATTTGATGGGTGGGCCACTGGGTGGATAAAGAACTGGCTGGATGGCCACACACAGACAATTCTCAGCGGCTCATTGTCCACATGGAGGTCAGTGACGAGTGGTGTCCCTCAGGGGTCAGTGCTGGGGCCGATACTGTTCAACATCTTTGTTGGAAACATGGACTCTGGGATTGAGTGCACCCTCAGCAAGTTCAGTGATGACACCAAGCTGTGTGGGGCAGTCACACACTGGAGGGAAGGGGTGTGCCATCCAGAGGGACCTTGACAGGCTTGAGAGGTGGAACAATGCAAACCCCATGAAGTTCAACAAAATGAAGTGCAAGCTCCTATATCTGGGCCATGGCAATCCCAGGCACAGCTACAGGTTGGATGAGGAAGTAATTGAAACCAGCAGTGAGAAGAAAGACTTGGGAGTGACAGTGGATGAGAAGTTCACCATGAGCTGCAGTGTGTGCTCACAGCCCAGAAAGCCAATTGAATCCTGGGCTGCATCAAAAGGAGCGTGGCAGCAGGTCAAAAGAGGTGATTCTTCCTCTCTACTCTGCTCTCGTGAGACCCACCTGGAATACTGCACACAGTTCTGGTGTCCTCAACATAAGAAGGACATGGAACTGTTGGAGCAAGTCCAGAGGAGGCCACAAAGTTGATAAGAGTACTGGAGCATCTCCCCTATGAGGACAGGCTGATGAAGTTGGGACTGTTCAGCCTGGAGAAGAGAAGACTGTGTGGAGACCTCATAGCAACTTTTCAATATCTGAAGGGCCTACAAGGGAGCTGGAAAGGAACTCTTTGTTAGGGGTAATGGATTCAAATTGAAGGAGGGGAAGTCTCAGATATTAGAAAGAAGCTTTTTATTATAAGGATGGTGAGACACTGAAACAGGTTGCCCAGGGAAGTGGTGTCTGCCCCAACCCTGGTGGTGTTCAGGACCAGACTGGATGAGACCTTGAGCAACCTGATCTACTGAGGAGATGTCCCTGCCCATGGCAGGGAGGGTTGGGACAAGATGATCTGTAAGGTCCATTCCAACCCTTAAATTCTATGGTTCTATGATTATATGATTTAGACTAAGAAATTAGGAGGCAAGCATGTAACAATAAATACACAGTGCTATGAAATACACAAAGCTATTGCTACTGAGAAATACAGAGGTTTTGTAATTATTTAAATCATCCTCGTTTTATAGCAGTTGAAGATAACACTATTCAGCAGTACTTTCAGAATTGCAGACTTCATAATTGCACAGTTTTTCTCAGCTTTGCATATGTTTATTTCCTGTGGGCTGTTTCTCCCTCAGTACATTCACAATATGGTATTCAATGTACAGTAAAGAATGAGATGCTGACTGCTG